AGGGGAGGGGAGGGGAGGGGAGGGGGGATAGTAGAGGATAGGAAAGGCAGCAGAATACCACAGACATGAGTATATCAATATGTAAATCAATGGAAATGTAACTGATGTGATTCTGCAAGCTGTATACGGGGTAAAATGGGAGTTCATAACCCGCTTGAATCAAAATGTGAAATATGATATATCAAGAACTATGTAATGTTTTGAACAACCAACAATAAAAAAAATAACCAAGGGCAAAAAAAAAATATTTTGTCATCATCTGTCATTTGCACAGTCTTCTTTTGGGTTCCTTTTGCTTTCTTTACCCCCTCTCTTCTCTCTCTTTCATCTCACTTTCACTCTGGCAGTCTGCTTCTCCCTGTTCTCTTSTCTTTAGCACTGCTGACAACACTTCTAACAGCGTTATCTAAGCTGATTCAGACTCACCCACCACAAAAGCCAGGCAGGTAATGTCAATGAGATGGTTTGCCTAGTCCAAAGGCAGAAGTGTCACCAGTCCATGTGGCCCCAGATGTGGGCCAGGGCTTGCTTGGTCTGCCATGCATATATTATTTTCTATTACCTTATATTATTTCTTTTTAAAATTTTTTTCTTAGTTGTAGTTGGACACAATACCTTTATTTTATTTGCTTATTTTTATGTGGTGCTGAGGATTGAACCCAGGGCCTTGTACATGCCAGGTGAGTACTCTACTGCTGAGCCACAACCCCAGCCCCACCTTATGTTATTTCAAAAAGCTAAACGTCTGGATTCTCATATAAAATCTCTAGAAAGAAGAAATGTTGGAAAAATAATTCATTTAAAATTCATTTAAAAAATACTGCATAGCCGTCCCCCTCCCCCCCMAAAAAAAAMCAACATTGACTCCAACAGGCCACAATGTGCAAGCTCTATCTTAAACACACTGCTGGATAACCCTCCAGATGAAGGGTCTGTGAGCCAGAGGCTTAGGATAGAGGGCTTTAATCTTATCAGATCCAACACCACTCCTATTTATAACTAATATGTAGTGAAACACCTTTAATAACCCAAAGAAAAATGTATAAACAATGCAACCTATGTCCATTAATGATTTTTAAAAATTCAGTATGAGGTCTAATACAGAAGGAAAACTGGTTCAGAATGAAGTCAGAAGATGTTGATACAAATTTAACTATACTGCAAGATTTCCTGAATGCGTTCCACATCTTGGTACGAACCCTGTAGATTCCTTCTTCTGGAATGAACAAAGTCTGTCCTTAAAGGACTTCTGCCTAACCCTTCACCCCTTAGACCAGGAGCTGCTACTTAGCAATGACCTTCAATTTGTCTCTAAACTTGGTGAGAGAACCCTTTACTCATGGCTGAGAGATAAAGGCACCACTCTGAGACCACCCCATCCCTGTAAGATTTGTTCCCTCAGACATTTCTTTCAATTTCTTGGTCCCCACTCTTGCCTAGATACCAGATCCCTTTTGAGATAAGGGTGAATGGCAGAAACATAGAAGCAGCGTATCTCCCTTCTCCTAGAGGCACCAATTTAACTTAAAGGCATGAACAAGAGATAAGATTCTGTGAACATCACTAATTGCATTTTAGTATTCAATTTGTTCTTGGAGGATTAAACCCACTCTCAGTATAAATTAATTCTGCATATTTCTCTGCTGCTTATTAGGCCCTTATGTTGCTATGCTTTGGTAAGTTAAAAGGCTGTTTTCGTTCCTTTTTTAATCCACAGCTATTAATTTTATAAAGTGGGATTTTTAATACAAATTATGGACTTGAATAACAAAGAGTTGCTAACATTTTCCTGTTGCCTTCACAGTTTATAAATTCTTCTCACCTTCATAAAAATCATGTACACGTTGTATGTCCAATGAGGGTTGGGAAGTTGGGAATTTCTTTGCTACGGTTGAACAGTTCTTCAGCCAATTCCTTGTCAAGTTCAGTACTCCGAGTGACAACATTGTCCAAGATAACCTGCTCAAACCARGGCTGGAAGAAGGAATCTACAGCTGTATCTGTTATGACAACAGACCCTGGTGCAATCCCTAAAATATGGGAATAAATAAGTGATTACAGAAGAATATCATTTAGCTCTTACTTTTGTGACACATAGTATGTAACCTATTCTGCCAACATTAATTAATGTTGGTGGCTAATGATCCTCCCTGCTTTCATCTTTAAAATTATTTTCTTTTCCAAATGCAATTAAGTAACATCCAGAATAGGCATTTCCATTTGCTGTCTTTCCAGATTCACATTTACAATGTGATGGGGTTTAGATTTCAAGACAAACATGACTCTTGGACATGCAAATTAGWACCAGCCTTCAGGCTCAAATTTGAATAAATTAGGTCAGGAATAAACTAAATGAGACTGCCAGCAAGTAGCTTTCATAAAGTGATGTGACTACTTGATATTTAATCTCCTCTGCAACTCCTTGATTACTATAATTTCTTGGCATCTCCCTCCTCTTTTCCTTCTGATTCTCATCACATTCGCTCCCTCTCCTCCCTGACTCCATGTAAATTAGGCCACTTGGCTGACCTTACATTGCTACAATCTGGCTTGTTCAGGGGACTTGGGCTTACTGCAGGAACCGTTTCTGCCAGCCACTGCTCTCCCTGCACTCATGTCCTCCCTGACACTTTTTCACCACACTGACACCAATTCACCCTTCAAGTCCTTCAACAGGTCTGAATCCATGCAGGAAAATTAAAAAAATAAATAAATATAAACAACTAAGAGGCAACACTATAGGTTACATTGAATTTCCCAGGCCCAGATGTGACGCAGCTCTTGATTCGTTCTGATTGCTATTTAGAGCCTGAATAAGGAGACATCTTGAGACTGCCCTAGACTCTCTCTGTCTTAACACTCATCACATTTTTACAGCTACTTGTTTATCTGTTTCTCTGATAGAACATAAAGTCTATAAAGACACGAATAATATCGGTTCATTGCTGTCCCCCAGGTCTCACACTGAATTGATCACACTATTGGTACTCAGTAGAAATTTATTGCACGAGTAAATGCTTCCATAGAGATGTTATAGAGCACAGGGTCTGCAAACTCTAGTCTACAGGCCGAATCCTACCTGTCTTTGTAAATAAAGTTTTGTTACAACATGGTCAGACCCATTCCTTTACATAATGGCCTCCACCATTTTCAAGCTATTACATGGATCACAGAAGTTGCAATAGAAACCACTCTGTGTGGAAAGTCTGAAATATTTATTACCTAGACATTTATAGGAAAAATTTTCCAGTCCCTACTATGAAGCATAGCCTGGTCCTGGGTGGTATAAATTCCACATCAATCAAAGTAGAATTAATTATAGAACACTGTAGCAGTCACAGCTACAAACCCAAGGTGGCCTCTGAAGATAGAGCTTTCATGGGTCAGATCCTTTTAAAATGAGACAAACAAGTGGTTTCTTGATTTGTTTACAATGTCCTAAGAATAGGAAAGCAATTGAGAAGGAGACTGAAATGTGTACACCCAAAATGATGTTATTCACATGCCAACTCAATGCTTAGATGCACTAAAATATCTATGTCATGGTAAAAGTCTCTAGAAGGTAAAAAAAATACTATTTAACCAAGTACTTTTTCTTTGCCAAGGTGAGTTCACCCACTTAAGGGGTGATCATATTAGCAAAGGGATATGCTATATCTCTTTCATCTCCAAATGCMATGTTGCCTAAAATAAAACAAACAAATAGATCTTATTTATAATCTAAGAGTGCTTAATGAGGATATAACTCCCAAATGAAGGTGTTCACACCAATGCACTGGTTTAATTTGACAGCATTCATAAACCTTCATTGAGATTTTGGTAATGTCTGCAGTACATGTCATGTTGCCATGGAACAAATGACCATGATTATGAGCTGGATGGTCACCAGAGTGTCTTGTCCAAGACAGACACTCATTAATATCAAACAGCAACTGCAATAGTCAGGATGGTATCATGCAGACAGATCCTTGTATCCCACAAGAATTATGAGCGACCTTAGGAACAATGTTATCCCAGATGCATTATTCCCTACTGCTTACTTGGCTGATAAAACAGGCATATCTTTGAAATTTTTTAAATGGAGAACACTTATTTCTGTCACTTAGAAAATTTCTGAGCCAGTCTCAAAACTTGCTCTCTACCCTCAACACATATTGTGAGCTATTCTTCCATTCTTTCCCATATGAACATCAGAGATCATTTTGGCAGTGAACAATGAGATCTCTCTTTCCAGGTTTCCATGGAGAAAAAAAAAAAAAAGAAAAATGCAATAAATTTCCTTCAATTACCTCAAGCCCAGCCTCCTGACACTTTTTGTCCCACCTGGGTTTCTGTTGGGATCTGAGTTTGTGGGTGTATTTTGAATGAACGGGAGAATGTACATAAAAGTCTCTCAGTTTTAATGGTAAAAAATCAATCCAACTCACCTATTCCCCCCTGATGTACCAATTCTGATACTGATGACATCACAGCACCGTGCATGATGTAATAATTTGATGAGTTCATGAAGCATAATAGAAATGGAGGGAATGCCAATGCCATACTGTTAAGAGAAAAGAGGAAGTCGTCATACATCTCACAAATGGATACGTGAACGGGACATATTTTCTTCCTTCATTACAAGTTAACAGCCCTCAGATAAATTTACATAATCATTAAGACTTTGCCAATGCTAAAGAAAATGTAAGTCATCTCTGACGCCTACGTGACATGCTGAMGGATGTGTCCATCTGTGAGGATCAGAGAGAGGCATCTTGTTGCCAGTTAAACTGAGCCCAGTCCTGCTTGTCAAGAGCAGAAGTGGGAAATGGTGTGGTGTACAGGTGTGTCAGGGCATTGGTCTCCCCCTTGAGTGCTTTCTGATAAGCTTATGTAAGGAGCTTTTTGCACAATTGACTTAATATAGAAGAAACATAATTTGGGTTCATGCCCTTCTCCACCACAGTAAGTGAAATAGGAAATCCATTTCATGGTTCTCATGTGGCCTCGTTTACTTGGCACAATTCTGTTTGAGTTCTGAGGGGTTCCTATGAATTTAATTCCCACCTAAGAATCTGAAACTTATTCTGAACATGTGGGTGAGCTTAAATTGCTGTAGATCATGACCAAAGCCCTGGTTTTCTTCAGTATTTAGAGCAGTAGAATTAATGTCACTAGAAAAAGGGTTAACACAGTCTAGAGGATTTAGTGGCTCTTGATGGTTATACTGTGCTCTAATAACTCCCCAGAAAGATTTTCCATTTAGTAATTTGTAGAAACTGAAACAGTTGTATTTTGATAGCTACTTTATTCCTAATATAACAGCAGAGAGTCAAATGTATTTCTCTATGTATTCTACTCTGAGGCACAAAGACTTTGGAAAACCAATGAAGCCAGGTCTATGGTGTTTTCTCTTGGCTTCCTTCCTTCTCACCATCAAGAATATTAAACTATGGAAAGTTTGAACCTCTGGGTTCACCATTTTTTGTTATCCACCCAATATGCCCCCAACTTCAAAATGCTTATAAGCCTCCTAGGACGGATCAGGAATCAACCCTGTACCAATTTGAATATTCAAGATTAACACAGGGGCTGGGGATGTGGCTCAAGCAGTAGCATGCTTGCCTGGCATGCATGCGGCCCAGGTTCGATCCTCAGCACCACATACAAATAAAGATGTTATGTCCGCCGAAAAACTAAAAAAAAAAAATAAATATTTAAAAAAAATTCTCTCTCTTTCTCTCTCTCTCTTTAAAAAAAAAAGATTGGAGGAAAAGATGGCAGCGAATGGAGTGCATCACCCCCGTGTACCGTGTCACTGTGCGGGAGAATGACGAGTTAGAACAGCTAAAAGCTATCTTGTTAGGAATCTCCAGCAAGATTGGGGTGCTCCAAAACCTAGAGGAAGGATTTCCATCGCCCGAGGATCGGTTACTGGGGCTCAACCGCAAGCGATTTGTCCGCATGGAGGGTCAAGCTGCTTATTCAGCAAATCACTGCTAGAGACTGCAGCGCGCCAAGAAACGACGAGCTAGCAACACAAAGATACGGCGCTGCGGATTCTGCAGGCTCCTGCCGGCTGTGCCCTCACTGTGCTCAGTGCTGAATTCTGGGTTTGAGACAGGGGAAGGAAGTGGTCCAGTTCGGTTCTCCACACCGGTCAGACCACGGAGGAAGCCAGCGGCCACCATCTTGGAGAGCTGATGTCACCATCGCCTGTTTTCCACTGATGGCAGCTCATTCAGTGATAGAACAGGTCTGTGACATTTAGTCTATCTCCCATACAGCCGGGAAATCACATAAAATCTCTCCCCGGCTTCCCGGGGGCGGGATTAACAGAGTGAGAGTGAGCAGAGGGGTGGGGGAAAGGCAAGGGSACCCGACCCCCAACTCCTCCCTCCCATCATCGGTGAAAACAAAACCTGTTTCGCCAGCTCTAGGAGGAGGGGCTAGCGGAAGGAGTCAAAACAATAAGGTGCCAGTTCCCAAAAGCCTCGGCCCAACGTCCTGGAAACTGCAGGCACAGAGTGCAGTTTGAACTGCTGAGAGGTAGCACACAGGGATAGACCTGGCTGACAGGAGAMKCCAGAGGACAAGAAACCAGGAATTAACCTAAGCTAACAGATTTTGAGAGACACCAGTGGGGGGAGGAGGGAGCGGCCTCACACGGACTGTTTCCTACAGCCAGAGGGCAAAATGTTGGCCCAGAAGGTTCAGCACTGCCTACTGGAAGCAAAGAAAATAGAAGCCTAACAATGTCCCTTTTTTAAAAATTATTATTATTTTTT